AAAAAAAAAAAAAAGACTATGCTGTTTGGGAAGATGCATTGGGTCCTAGAGCTACCTGCAACACAGCTATAATAATAAAGCTGTTTCTTTACACCTGGAAAATGGTAAGCTTTCTTGTTAGGCACAGCGATCTTTTTACTTCCTGACTATGCAATCTTTCTACATTTCTCTGTACCCAGGAGAGCTATTATCCTGTATTAATAAACGTATTTGTGAAAAAGTACAGAGAATCCAATAATCTGAATTCAAATGTTGGCTCTGCCATTTATTAGCTATGTGATCATAGACAAGTCTTTTAACTTCTCTGAATTTCAGTTTTCCTTCCCGCAAAATAGGAATATTAATACTCCAGCATCCAACACTGTACCTGACACATAATTTCAATAAACCATTTCAAGTGGAGAGAATGAACATGTCAAACTGACATAAAATTAAACTGCTTACAAGAGAACAGACGTTGAGATGATACACAGATATGTATAAGTCTGTCTACTTACATATGTATAAGTCTATCAATTATTATAGCAGCAACTCTTTACTGGCACAGACTTACGAAAAGTATATACTTAAAGCAAATCATATACAAGTTATCATCTATGTGATCCTTTTCCACAAAATTGGTTAAAAAAAACATATCTCACACACCCAAGTGGCTCATGAGCACTACCCTCCACTAATGGGGGGGATAATGGCAATTTCGTCTCCCGACCGAAGCTGGAGGACTTGATCTCCAAGCTCGACATATTCTTGACGGACAGCAAATATCACCTGATTTCTGACATCAGCCAATCTGAAGGGAAAAAAGTATAATTAGAAGTATCAATGTTGTGTTAGACCTCAAATCTCTTCAGCTGCAACTAAAAATATCACATTAAATATTACTTCATGAAGCACCACCTGCAGTTACTAATTAAACCAATTCATATTCTGCAGAGAAAGTACATATCCCCTGAAGAACATACTTATTCACCACAAAGAACACAGTAAACTGCTAACAACTCTTTAATGAGTGTTGTGTCTCAGGGATTTAAACAACCACCCAACCCCAGCAAAAAAAAAAAAAAAAGACTAGATCACACAACATTCAGACCAGGTCAAGAAAAAAAAAAGAGAGATTTCCTAATCAGTACATGCCCTCCCCAGGAGATCTCAGTACACAAGTATACTAAGTGTATCTCAGAATTTTCCCACAAAACCAGTGTCTCCCAACAGGTAAAAGGTTAAAGATAAAGCAGGACCAAGGCCACATCCCATTTCATCGATTATCAGGGCACTTTAAGAGCAACTCAAAGGGGCACCTGGGTGGCTCAGTCAGTTAAGCGCCCAACTCTTGATTTCCACTCAAGTCATGATCTCGGGGTCGTGAAATCGAGCTTTGAGTTGGGCTCCACGTTGGGTGCAGAGCCTGCCTAAGATTCTCTTTCCCTCCCCCTCTGCCCCTTCCCCATGTTCTTGGGGAAAAAAAAAAAGAAAAAAAGCAACTTAAAAGATGAAATCAAGAAACAGTTTTCCCATTAAACCTACACTGTGGAATATCTTTTACAATGCACTAGGACTTCCCAGTTTAAAAATCTATACAGGGGCGCCTGGGTGGCTCAGTCAGTTAAGCGTCTGCCTTCGGCTCAGGTCATGATCCCGGGGTCCTGGGACTGAGCCCCATGTCAGGCTCCCTGCTCAGTGGGGAGCCTGCTTCTCCCTCTCCTCCCCACCTGTGCTCTCTCTCGCTATCTCTCTCTCAAATAAATAAAATCTTTAAAAAAAAAATCTATACAGACTTAAGTGACACAATTAAAATTCCTGGAACTCCTTCAAATAAGCCATAATTATACTTCATTGCGAAAAAGGACCTGAGGTAGGAACAAAAGCAGTAAATTACAGATTTTTAAGAACCAGAAAAAAATGAAATACTATGAAAACTCGATTCAGCAGTAGCTACAGTTTGTGAGCTTTCACTTTTCTTTTAATCTTAGAAATTTCTATTTTGAGTTCTCTAAAGAAGGGGCAGGACATAAAACTAAAGCATAAGTTTTCAACCTAATTTGTAACAATCCCATGTAATGTTATAAAAATGCAGAACCCACATTTTCAGTATTTTATAAATTATAAAAGCAAATATATTCATGTCCCTTTGGCAGTATTCCAGCTCTCTGTGGTTATTATTAGTAAAATATCTTTAGCTTTCTTTAAGAAATTGTGCATTTTTAGATACCAGAATTTATTAGTAGTTCCAGAAAAACACGTCTACTGACCCTTTTTGACATTAAGCATGGAAATAAAAATTAGCTTTTTTTCTCTAATCATTTACACATTTTTCAATGTTAAAAAGTGCTAATCATATGCATTCTACAAATTTTTAACTACCCAGGATGTCGTGCTTCTATCTCATTCCACAGCTGCAACGCTTTTATTTCCTGTGGCACAGAAATGGTCTCCGAGCGAATTCCTGCTATCTCAGCACTTTTTGCAAAATACAACACTTCAACCTGAAAAGGAGAGGAAATGCCTTTAACAGTATCAGTAATAGACCTTTTCTGTCTCGGTGAGCTTTTCTTTCCAATTACTTTAATCAAAGACAAATTTTATAAATTAGAAATAATTAAATCACCCAAAAAAATGTTAGTATAATTACAAGTTCAAATTTTGAAAACTCTCTGTTTTAAGCACAATTCAGATTAATTTCCAAATGCTTTTCGGTTTTATGAATGTAAGCCTGCCACAACAAAACCGTAACGGTATCTTCTTAAAAACCATTAAGTTGTCCTTTATTTGACATTAAAATTATAGCATCTTTTATAAACACTTAAGCAGTGAACTGATGTCTGAGTCAAGAGATAAATTCCATATAACCAAAAAAAATGAGACACGTCTTTCACGCTTGTCATATGACCCTTGATTTTAGTCCACATTACATCGAACCCAGCTGCCAAGGATTAAGTTATGCAACATACAAACCCTGACTTTGTAAAGGCAGGTGGGTTTGATATACAGGTTAAACTGGTATTTCCTAGGACAAACCTATGCCGTCAGCCTGGTATCTAAGAAATCCGACCAATTAAATAACCCACCTGTCCCAGTGCGCAAATTAGAGGTTTGGAAATAATCAAGGGTTTGCAAATGTATATATGAAGCACCTTTTTCCACAAGAACTCTTAGTTAAATGCATGAACTTGAAAACTGTCTTTGCCAAAACGTATAATTATAGAAGCATGGGGGCGAAGTCGAGGGTGCCTTTAGAAACCTGTGACGCCGTCACCTCGGAGACCAAGAGTTCGCGGAGAAAACTTGACCTTCTTTCGGGCAGCCGAAGTAAAGCCTCCGCAGCCCGGAGGGGCAACACTGGTTGTAGTGGGCGCAGCACCGGACGAAAGACTCGACTAAGGTGGCTTCGATGAGGATCCGGCTGAGCAGGGCCGGGTCTGTGGAGGGAGGAAGGAAAGGGGGCAGATGCACCTGTGAGGGCGCCCCACCCTTACCTGACATCGCAACACCATCCCGCCCGGATCCCCAGTCTGGTATTCCGACCGCGGAAACGGAGCGAGGTTGACGAGAGCGCAGGCGCAATCTGACGGCCCTTTCCGCCCACACAGAGCCTGCGCAAAACTAGCTCCGCCCCGCTGCTCTCCCAGCACGGTTCCAGCTGCAGACGGCTCCGCAAAAAGCTCAATTTTCACTTGCAGGTGGGTAGCGGTGGCGAGCTTCAGCTGTAGGTATCACGAAATGCGGGACGGGCTGGCCGTTCATGCCCGCCTTCTTAGATGAGAGGCCGAGGTGCGGGAGAGCAGACACCGGTCTCTACTGGACACTTGTCACCTGCGTCATGGAAATTCGGCTTTCCAGCTCGTTCACCTGTAGGCTTGTCTCTGACATTTCTTATCCACCCCGACATCCGGTATATGATTAATGTCCCTTAAAGGCAAAGCATTCAATTTATCAGAGTATTCGAACTGTGTCAGATTTACACTTTCCCGGTTTACTAGCTGCTCAGTAATTTGTCCAATTGCTATCTATCCATCCAACATTTCCAACTTTTTATCAGCAAGAACTCTGTTTTAAATTGCTTACATAGTTTTGTGGATAACGCTAGGCGCCCCTCCCCTTGGAATTCACAGTGCTGGATGTGAGACAGTCATAAACCATTAATGGTAGTCAGTGTACCAAAGGCAATATTAGAGGTACATGTTACATTTCATGGGGGCGGTAAGGGGAAAGTGCCTGGTCACCTGAGGAGTATAGTCTAGGAAGTCTTCACAGAAACATGCCTGAGCTAAATCTGCTAGAATGAGTAGCAGCAATGTCAGAGTGAGGGTAGGGATGAGGGAATTTCATTAAGGTGTGCCAAGCCAGAGGGGTATAAAGCAGCATTATGAGGTCACAGAAGGGCAAATAGTTGGCAAGGTGGACATGCCCCCTGCAAGAAGTACTGGAAATGAGGCTAGATACCAGGTAGTTGTAGCCCGTGGGAGGAAAAATTGACAAGAACTGACTAACACCAACATATATTCCTATAAAATTGCTAAACATCAAGGATAAAGAATTATATTCACAAACATAGGAAAACAGGGGAATGATGACAACAGCCTTAGACTTCTCCATAAGCCCTAATGCCAGAAGATGGTGCAACATCTAAAAGAGGCTAAGAACAAAAGCATGACCCAAAATGTTACGTACAGCCAAATGGGTGTTGTAAAAGGCCATAGCCTAATACTCCTAAATCTGCAAAACCTCAAAAAATAAAATATCCAAGAGTCCTTCTTATAAAATCTCCTCAGGCAAAAATCCAGTCAATCAAGAGAGTAATCGAACTAAAAACTTGGTAATAAAGAAGTTAATGGTAAAAACAAAGCAACTAAAGATGAGATTTTAATCCATTTAAATTTTTATAAAACAAAGACATCAGGGCACCTGGGTGGCTCAGTTAGTTAAGCCTCTGCCTTTGACTCAGGTCAAGATCCCAGGGTCCTGGGATTGAGTCCTGCGTTAGGTTCCCTGCTTGGTGGGGAGTCTGCCTCTCTCTCTCCTCTCCGCTCGTGCTCTCTCTCACTCTCTCTCAAATAAATAAATAAAATCTCAAAAAAAAAAAAAAAAGACATCAATTGTGGGATTAGGGTTATGGAATAAAATGTAAATAACATTGAAATAATAAAAAAAAAGTTATAGAAACTGCCCCAAATTGGAACATGTCATTACAAAATACAATTTAAGCCTCTTAATATTTTTCATAATCTTTT